CTGCCTGTTTCTGGTGGCACTGGCAGGGGCTGTGGTGGGACCTGGAATGAGCCTCTATGTAGCCAGGACATCGCTCCGCCAGGACAGACTGTGTGCACAGATTTGTGGCAAGTGCTTGATTTTATGAGACGAAAATAAAAGGCAACAGCAGCTTCTCTAGAGGTCATGGCTCACGCTGGTTTCTGCACTGTGTGGGTCAGATGCAGCCCCTGGGCACAGAAAGGAGCCAATATTTGTCCCACCATGGCTTGCTGGGCAAGGTCCTCTGCTATCCCACTGCACTCCGACTTGCTCTGTGGTGTCCAAGCCTTCCTCAGTCCACTGATTTCGTTAATGTAATTATGCTAAACTTGGCACAATTATTTAGCCTGCAGATCACTCCTTTCCTACACGCAGGACTGCAACTCCATCTGGTTTTGCCCATCACCATGGTGGGTATCTCAAAACATCCCCTTCTCCCCACAGTCCTGGCAGGAGAAACAAGCAGGGAGGGATGATTTGGGGGTGAAAACACAACTTTGGGTTCAGGCCATAAGCACGGGAGACACGCAGCTGGGCAGACTGGAGAGGCCAGTGTCCAGCATCCTACAGCAGCTCAAGGAGAGATGGGTGGGATGACCCTGGCCCTGCCACCACCTCCTCGGCACCTCCGCCGCTGGCTCCCTTGCACGTTCCGATGCTGCCATCTGTAGCACAGAGCTCCACTCTGGTGCTCCCCGACACGGCGCCTGGAGGGCCGGGAGCCAAGCGAGGAGACCACAGCAGAGCTCAGCTTCACACACTTTGGTTTTGTAGGAGTCCAGACGGGCAAATCCCAGCCTGGGACTTGGATTTCCAGCCCCATGAGAGGCTGTTGGCTTCTGTGTCCACTGGATTGCATTTTTAATCATCTGCCAAGGGCACCAGAGCCTGGGATAGTAACTCTCATTCTACTTATCTGCTGGAAATAAAATAAACACATTAAATAACTTCAGCGCTGGGGCCCATAGAGTGAAGAGGTTTAAACCGTGAAAGCCATGGATTCCTGTAGGACCAGCCAGGGAGCATCACAGTCTCCTGTACACGCAGGGATAGGACGAGCATCTGGTTTTAATGCATTTACCCTGTGAGGAGGTGGGGGACACACAGCCATCCCTCCTTTCCCCGGCTCGGTTTCACCCAGCCATACATAACCACAGGCTGACTGTCAGGATGAAAATCCCCATCACTGAAAATTGTTTCATCATTATCCATTTCTTGGTGCCTTTCAATGACAGGAAATATCAGACAAAGGCTACCTCATCCTGCTCCCAAATCCCTGTATTGTCCCAAGCAGGGAAGGGAAAGGCAGAGCCGGGTCGTGCTGAGCTCAGTCCAGCAGCATCCCCAGCCCTGCTGGCCCCGGGGCGCTGCGAGGCGGAAAAGCGGCTGTGACAGAGCTGGCATCAGCGCGTTTCAGGCCAGGCTGTGACCCACCAAGAGTGACAAAAAGGAAAACAGGGAGAAAAATAAATCTCTGTTGGTCAGGGTGAAACTGAGCCTGTAAGAACCACCATTTCTCCTTTGCCACCTCCCTTCTCTCTGGACCCTGTAGTGGACAGCACTCCCAGTATCTTCCCCAGCGTTGGAAGTCTCCATCCTTCCTTCAGGCATTAAACACGTGTTCCCCCCGGATCACAGCCTGAATGCCCTTCTGCCCTGTCGCTGCCACATGCTGGCTCCATCACGTCGCAGCTCAGGACCGCCCAGCCGCTGCCACCTTTGTGCGGGCAGCACGGGGCTGGATTAGCCTTGCACGCATCAGCAGGCTGACCACGCTGCGCGGGCAGCGGGATTTGCTGCTCCCCTTCTCCCAGCCGTATCCGACAGCCCGCTCTGAAAAGGAGCCCTCAGCCCACTGCCACTGCTAATCCCCACGCACGTGGGCTCCGGGCCAGCGGCCCCTATATAGACCTCTCCGACTGTGCATCCCGACAGGTCTGCGGCGCAGGGGCAGGAGAGCGGGATGGCACTGCGGGTAAGTGCTGGGCACATGATCTGGCACAGCCTGGTCTGTCTGAGAGGTGACAGCACTGGGGCAGGCGGTGGATAAAGGGAAGTGACACAGATAAGGGCAAGAAAGGTAGAAATCCTGAAAGACGTGGGGATGCTACCTGGGGTGCTGCCCTTCTATTTCGGTCCGGTTTGGGCTATTGCAAAGCTGAAAGTTTCATGGCTTTTAAGAAAAGGCAGTGAGACAGATTTTTCATCTCTGGTCTGGGGTGACGCTGCCCTGATGGCAGCACTTCTGGCTTGGAGGGTTTAAGCAGAGACAAAAATAGGACCAACGTTTTAGCAAAGGAGATCTGTGCTTTGCCATCCATCTCCGCTAGGACAGCGGCAGCAAAGAGAGAATTGCTGCTTCCTGTGTATGTGGCGTGTCTTTTGCTGAGGGTTGTGTAACGATGACAAGCCAAGGGTCAAGGCAAGGCGAACCTGGGTGCTGCCATCACCGTCTGCTGTTTGAAACCGGACCACCAGCTCCATCAGCTCTCTGTGTTTCACGGGGGTGAACGCTGGTGTGGTCAGAGCCTTTGAAGGACCGTGTGCGGGTTCTCAAAGCCACCCTCCAAAAGCAGCTGGGCACGAGGGCATGAGGTTGGCCATCATCGTGTCTCAGTTCCTGCCCCAAAATGTGCATATCCCAAAAATGCATTCGAGATGAAAAATCATAGCAGGGAAAGAAACGGGCGTGAAAGCGCTGAACTGGAGGGAGGGAGAGGCAGGCAGGCAGCTGGCAGTGGAAATAGCACAGCCGGGGAGATTTTCCCAGTGTGAGCGATAAGTTTGGGAGAGGAGTATGCTCAGAAATGCAAGATCATTAGAGTGCCAAAAAAAGTGAGGTGAAATGGCAAGCAGTTCTTATTAAAATGAGTTATTTAATAAAACTATGAATTATTCAAAAAGGAACATTTTACAGCTCCAGTTTTATGCAAGTTTAACCTTGGAGATGGGGGGAGTGGGTGGAACAGGGTATCAGGCAGGAGCTCATGGGAAGAGTCACCTGTGTAACACTGGATGAGGATGGGCTGGACACCACAATACATCCATTCCTTGACCAGTCCTGGTCTTTCACACCCTGCTTCAAAGCATCACAAAGTTTTCTGCTTTAGATTTTGCATTGCTTGAGCAGGGAGAGGAGCAAAGTGTCTCTGTGTCCTGGCAACAACGAAGGCATTCAAGTTCTTTAATTTTCACTCCCTGATCTCATCCAACTCTTTTCAAAAAACCTTGGGGGTCAGCAAATCCTGCCTCATTGACTGGATGTTGTAGTAACTTCGTTTCTTATAATTTAGAGCCCCTGAGATTATTTAGGAGTGAGAAAAAGGCAGGGGCAGAGTGTGTGTCTGCATGGGAAGGGGGGAGAAAGGAGAGGACGATGAGAGGGTGAGAAAGACGGGGAAGTGTCAGGGATGAGCAGGGCCGTGCCTCTCTCCCCCTGTGCCATCCTTCACCATCACCTCCTCACCGGCAGTTCGAGGC